ATTTTGAATACTAGCATTATAGAGCATTAAAATATTATCATGTCATCTGAACTTGATTCATTGAGACAACGCATTATTGAGCTTGAGGCCGAGAATGCTGAGGTTAAGGCCAAATATATCAAGGTTATGGATGAGAATGCAGTGGTCAAAGCTGAGAATGCAAAGTTAAGGTGCGTTTTGGAAGAATATGAAGCTAGGTTCACGAGACTAGAACAGAGAAATAAAGAAAAGACCAACTTTATTGCCAAAATGGATGATGATATCAAGGAAATCAAACAATCATCGGCCAATGCCAGCTCTATCGAGAATTCCAACAATGTTATTCGTCTGGGCAAACTAGAAAAGATGGTAAAGCCATCAAATACATCTGATAGCACATTTAATTCTAATACATGCACAGAAACTAAGTCATTGAAGGATAAAGAGACGGATGATTTCTTGGATGAGGCACATAAGAAAAGGTTAGTGATGAGATAAGGTAACGTAACAAAGAGAAGAAAATTCAGCGTGAGTCAACTGTCCCTCTGACCTATCATGTGTTACAGAAACTTCTCTAAGAAATCATGATGAAAACGAAAATAACACAAAAACTATGAACATTGTTCACGATCAAGAAAAGATTTCATTGGAAGTCTCTGTGCAAAAAATGCTTGAAAGACTTAATGAGGATGTTTCCCAGAGAGAATCGGATTCAGGCTTAGTAACTGAAATTATATGAGACTTATTACAAGGATTTCTGGTGGATGATTTCCAGAGGGAATTTATTAATACTGAATTTATTGATAGAGAGCATTCTAATTCTTCACCTGTCACAGAAGAGCTTGCCCGTTTATTTCATCAAGCGAGTATAGCAAGGAAAAATTCGATCAAAGCTAAGCAAGAAGAGATTTCATCTTGGGGTCGCTACTCTGAAAGATTCGAAGATAAGGTCATGAAGCTCAGATCTGAGGATAAAAATCTTAAGGATAAGACAGCAAGGTCCCAGATATATAATGAAATGAAACCATACCTTTCAGGCGTTTCTGATGAATATTTGCGCAAGATAACAAGCAAAGTAAGGAAGATTAATAAGCTATTTGGATATGACTACGATCCTATAACTCTGAAAAAGATTAAAGGTATAGGATGGCATATGGTTAATCGGGTTACCTATAGTGCTGA